TATTTATTGTATAAATATATAACGACTTGTGAAAAGGGGTGAGCTGCCACAAAGAAAAGGTAATTTCACACAACCACTTGAGAAACCATACAATCAAAATTTTAGATCACCATGATTTAAAATGTGTTTTTAAATTAGGATGGCAATGGTGAAAGGAAATTTAGTTGGTAATTAGTAAAATCAAAGAAATCCAAATAAAATAAATTTCTTAAAATTAAAAAATCCCAAAAAGTTAAAAGAAATCGTATGACAATTAAAACGAAAAAACAAAAAAAATACCACAAAATATTATGGAAATTGGCACAATAGTCTCTAACATGTGGCCTGTGTAATTTAGGTCACTAGCTATTTTTGTTGCCATGGACGTCCTCTACCTATGGTTTATCAGAGCAAATAGTCATTTTTAACAATTTCGGTCCTTTTTATGTGTGAACGGTTTCGTCTATTTGAATAATAAAAGAAAACTACAATGCCCTTACTTTTATTTAAATAGGAAATTGGCGCAAATGGTTCCTAATATTTAATTCTTGACACTGGCCACCCTCAACCTATTTACTTTTTGTGCAAAAGGTCCTTTTGAATGGTTTGCATCCATTTTGCCGTTAAAGAATATCTATTCTAATAAAAAAGATACTTGTACACTTTACCCATTTATCCACTTAAGGGATGTTGTGTGCGAAATTTCTTAATTTCCGCAAGTCATCGCAATCATAGTCAAAATTTCATATAGCAACGAGACAGAGAGAGAAATACCATAAGAGAGAAAGAAAGAAAGAAAAGGAAATATAAATTGTTGATTTCTATATTTTTAGTTGCGATATAACATTATTTTAAATTGTTTAAAATAACTAAAGTTCCCTAGAAAAGGAAATACAAATTGGTAGTGTTGATATCATTATTTTCTCACTTTTATTTCTGGTAGATATGGCAATTTTTTTCGCCCTGTCCCGAATTGGGCAAAAAAACAAGCTCCGAATGGTTTGGAACCCCGCCCCGTCTCGGGTAGGGGGGGTGGGGGTGCCCCGCCCCATGAAGAATTAAAAAAAAAATTGTTTCGCATATTGTTTGCTTCGGATATTTTTTGTTTCGAGTGCTTGCTTTGGATATTGATGTAGTTAGTTTGAGCATTATTTGTTTTGGATTTTAAAATTTAAATTTGTATTTTAACTGGAAATAAAAAAAAAATAAAAGTAAACGGGGCCA